GTGTGTGTGTGTGTGTGTGTGTGTGTGTGTGTGTGTGTGTGTGTGTGTGTGTCTGTGTGTGTGTCTGTGGTCTCTACGTTGCTGTCTCTCTGTCCGTAAAAGAGCAGAAACCGGTGGATGAAAGTCAGACGACATGCGCGATCAGATGAAGTGTTTACACGTCTCATTTTTATTCCGAATGGTCGTTTAATCAGATTAGCTTATTTATGTCCATGGATGATTCATAGTTCACCATTTTTTTTACTTTCATATTTAAAATTATTTCACAAGATGTCTTGTCTCCTTTAACTTTGTTAATCTGGAGTTTTATTGCAGAATATTACGCCTACTCAAATTTTTATTAGAAATCTAATCCAGAAAGCTGTGTATACTCGCTACCTGTCTGATCAATTTCTCCAACAACTAAATAAGTTCGGGTGGGAGGCGTTTTGCTTATTTAATGTCCGGATTTTCTTTTTTTTTTTTACGAGACAACCTACGGTGAGGGAGAATAAAGATAACTTTGTGTACAAATAACAGATTAAAGGTAATGTAGCCTATGTTTTTCACAGAAAACATGCCACAAATTGTAACATTGTGTTTATATTGATTTAGGAAAACAATGTCCGCCCCACTCATTTTTATGCTCACGAGCCGCTACTGTGTTTGTACATGGTTTGAGAAAACCTGAGGACATCCCGATGTTTTTACTGCTCTCTCATTAGACGCCTGATCATCCTGAGTCTGGTTCTGGTTTTGCGAGATGTTTCTTGTTAAAAACAGTTGTTCCTTTTTTCTGTTTCCTCTGTACTATTCAGGATTGGGAGGAAGTGAAGATTCACAATCTGCTGGCTTAGATGAATGACGTTTACTAACTGGCATTTTCTAATGTACTCCAAGTGAATTATTTGTATGATGCCATGAAATAACTTTTACTGCCAACTGGTGCTATATAAATATTTAACTGAAGTGAACAAATGAATTGATTATGTCAATGTAGTGACTGCACTTACTGTTTTCATCATCCTCAAAGTCACAGCGGGCGTAGCTATTAGGATCAGCTGCTCTCAGAGTCCTCAGCCAGGGGAAATCTGTTATCATGCTGTACGGAGCACAATCCACCACTCCTGAAAAACACGAAACAAAATGATTTACATCAATAAGAAAAGTACCTCTGTTTAAAAAATAAATCAGAATGAGGGACAAGGTAAAGCAAAAAGAACTGAGGGTGAAACTTAGAGAGGGGAAGCTGAACTACAAAATCTCTGGAGCAACAGGTTAGGGTCTGGTCTGGACAAAGATCTCTTTTGACCTTTTGTTTTGATAGAAAAGAGAAATCACCTCAGACTTCGGGTTTGGCTTGCAAAGAATTGGCAGCATAGAGCAACAGACTATTGATGGTAAATATTAAAAACAAGCTGCTATGACTCTCACAGATGCACAAACATAAAAACTGATGAAGACTAACGGCTGAAAACGGGAAATGAAACAGGACAAAGATTATGCTAATGAAAAGTAAAAACAGCACTACACCAATAAAGGAAAATGAGAACATGGAGGAAGATCTAGAACTGCAACGACATACAAGCAGAGGCACACCAACACAGCACAGCTGAGCCAAGAGGCTGAAATGGGAATTATCCTGTTTCCAATCAAAAACTGAATAACAAAAGAGAAGACATTAATAAAAGAAATAACGAGGTGGAGGAGCGTATAGACACAGTTATGACTCAAATCCAATCTGCAGAGGAAGTCCTGGCTGCATTGGTGAAGCTCCAGATGGAAACAGAAGAACTGATGGATCGAGTCCAGACAATGGGCCTCATGCAAGAACATGTTCGTATTCTTATCCTAAATTTCTCTTACTTTTGTTC